TGAAAATGATATACAAAATGGCCAAATGGAAAGAAATATTCAAAATGGACAAAATAATTTAAGTCGAGATATACTTGTAGCTAGACATTTTCAATAAAAAATTAAGAACTTCCTCACCTTTAATTTTTTTAATTATTTCAATATCTTTTTCTAGTTTTCTTTTTTTGAGCTCGTGAAGTTCCATTTCCCTTCTCATTTCTGCATCTATTAGTTCTTGTTTTTTCCTTTCTGTTAAGCACCGTGCTTCATTCAAGGAGCTCCCTCTTTCAATTGAAATTAGTGGTCGTCTTCTTTGGTGAACAGGCGTCTTATCCTTGAAAAAAATCTATTAAAAATCATCCAAAGCAACATGATGATTATGCATACTATTATTTGAGGCTGAATCTGTTGCTCCTGTTCCTCTTCTTCCTCAACAACAATGTTATCTTGTAAATCTGAAATATATCATTTTCTATTAGCATTGAATTTCATTACATATATATATTATAACATACCCAATGAAGCATTTTCTGGTACCATATTTTCTTTGCCTTCTTCAATATCGCAATCATTGATATTTTCCAAACCCCTACCAGCACGACCTAAAATATCTAATACTTTTTCCAGTATGGGGTCTGCTTTTACTTCAGAAGGCTCACCTCCAGTTTGCGAAACGCTAATGCGTTCTTTGGCCCGGTAAGTTAAAAATTAGCTGAGCGCTTTCTTTTTTGCACAATTATATCTATTTTAACCAAACCACCTAATAGCATTCAAGCATCCAAGCAGACAGCTGTCATGAATGACAATAATTGTCACTTGTCACTTATGAAATATCGAATCGATTTTTATGAAGTATTGCAACCTGACAACAAAAACTTTCTAAACACTGTGTCTTAACTAGGAACTTCATAACTAAGAATTACCTAGCCTGGTGAAACCAAAGATTGTATTTAGGAAATTCCTACCGCTAAGTAATTCTTAGTTAGGTTTTAATTTAGGAAATGTTGGTGAAATCGGCCATAGTTTCCTAAATATGGACCACCCTTACTTTTTTTTAAATAAAAATTTGAAAAATTGACAAATCTATATTAAGGATATCATGTTTTATTTCGAAAATGCCAAACACAACTGACTTTCGGTCACGCAAAAATGAGGTTCTAACATTCGATGACAACATAACGGCTGTTTCAAATTCCCTTATTCGCCAAACTTATTCAAGCGAGTCGACTCAAGCCGCCATTACTTATGCATGCTTGAGTAAAATTATAAAACAACAGAGCTAGTGCGGTGTCCCTTGATATACTCCCGGAGTCCCGGACCCAACCAGGATTATTCAAATGCCCTACCGAGTGGCTGTCGTTGTCGTCGGTCCTCAACAGATGGCCGACCGAAGACGAGTGTATCCTCTCCACATTTAACGATTCGCTGAATGCTGTATACAAAAAAATGGCGTCGAGTAGATTCACTCTATACTTCGTACGCCTTTGTTGGAGGTTTCAGAGACAAGGGATGTGGTTAAAGCAACGTATCACACAAGTAGAGAGACGATGAATATGTTGTGAAGAACGTTTGATCTCCCTAGTAGCAGATATTATCTGGTCCCTAAGGTCACCAGGTTTAACGAGCCCTCATACTTCTATGGAGATTTCTAAAGGATATCAGCCAAACTTGTATAGCAATATTCGGGAAGCTATTGAAAATATTGTTCCCGACACCAACCAAAAAGTGATGCAAAACGTAATTAATAGAGAACAAGCTGGTATGGTTTCCAAAGACGGATTTTTTATATAATAACTTAACTAACACAGCCTACTCCATCAATTGCAACAACTGCAACCAAATATACATAGGTCAGACCTCCAGATCTCTTAAAGGAAGGATTACATCACACGAAAGTGATGCTAGGCTTCATCCTGAAAGATGCGCTCTAGCATCTCATGTTAACATAACAGGACATTCTATGAATTACACAAGTATCAAAGTTCTTGATAAAGAAAAACACCTTTCCAAACGTTTATGCCTGGAAATGTCCCACATTTTCATGAATAACAACTGTATCAACAAAAAGACAGATATTAAACAGCTGAGTGTCATTTACTCATATTTGATAAACTGCGAAAAATTGGAAAACTTACATATCTCCCCAAATTTCAACTTTTCACAACCATAAATATAATCTGTGTTTTGGCCGATTCCACCAACAAATTTCATTCCACTCAAAATCTAATAATTCTCTTCTCACGATTTATTAATAATTGTTAATTTAAAATTCCCATTAATTAAAATATAGTTTATTCAACTGCCTCTGGTCGGCTTAACAATTTCTTACATAACATTCTGAAAATCACATCATCTGAAGTGATTTGGCAACGTTTTGGCACACGCCCACAATTCGTTCCATCTTTCAACACAGACATTGACAACCTTCGGCCTTCTGTCAAAGGTTCATCTCACTCATTATTCCGTGACCACCATTTTGTGCAATCATCAAGTGGCTTCACGACGTAATGCTCTAATGTTTTCTAAATAATTTTTAATCTGTCTTTAACTTGTCTTGTCATATTTTATATAATTTTAACCATTGTACCAAGTATCCAGCTCTCAGCATGTTACTGGACGTTTCCCTCATCCTATACGAAAACAGCAATTAGCAACATCCTCACATACTACTGTAAGTTGATTCAATTTAAATTCATTTTACACTTTTGTTGCTACTGTTATCATTGTAATGGCAGCTCCTGATGATGACGGCAAAGTCCATTGAAAGCTAGAGAGAATTAAAAAAAGTATAAAGAGTCCTCTTTGCTTAAATCGTAATGATATATATATATATATATATATATATATATATATATACAGGTGAAAAATTAAAGCTTCCGCCTTTTGTTGGGTACTTCGACAAAATTTAAGCAAAGAGGACTCTTTATACTTTTTTTAATTATCTCTAGCTTTCAATGGACTTTGCCATCATCATCAGGAGAGTAGTATGTGAGGATGTTGCTAATTGTTGTTTACGTATAGGATGAGGGAAACATCCAGTAACATGGTGAGAGCTGGATAGATGGTACAATGGTCAAAATTATATAAAATATGACAAGAACAAGTTAAAGGCGGAAGCTTTAATTTTTCACATAACTGGTCTAGACGACAGTGACCACGTCTCAAGTTATATATATATACATATATATCATTTTTAATACGATAACTCCCATCCTAACAGTAACAAATAAAATTTGTGTGTAATTCATTTTAGACTGGTTGAGCATCTGCCTCAATTTCAATAATACCAACGACAACTTTCAGGTACAATTATAATTCTAATCCAATATATAATATAATAATTTAAAATCAAACGTTTACAAAGCCTAGATAAATACAAAGTCTTCACATCTGAGTAATGCCAAGACCACAAATAACTTCAAGCAAATCAAAACACTAAAACAAAGTTTCAAAGCCCACTATTAGTTTCTATCATCGACGGAATCATCTCTAAAGGTTCGGATTTCCAATATTACCGTATCTTGGTACGCCACTCCCCCCTTCCCCTAGACCGACGTACCCACCGTTCCTCAGTTGCCACATTTATCGGAAGAGTTGTTTAAATTCTTGACACTATCCGCTCTCCAGTCTTGAACACATCTGATGACCCACACAGCCCCAAGTGCTGCAAATTTAGAATGATGTGATTAAAATCGTATTTACGGCAACTTAACGTTTTTGCTAACAGGACATGTTACAGGGCAGTAGTCTAGATTCCTTAAGACATAAATAGTGAGTATTATTCTTCATTCCTTCCTTCCGTTTTCGTTGTTGCTTTGTCGCAAATTAGCGTTGGTATTGCAAGTGTTTTTGACTTTGAGAAGGAAACTCCCAGCTATATAAAAATTAGGCCAGGAAAAATTTGGATAAAAGTGATTTTTTTTTTGTGATATAGTTAGATTATTGCTGTCTAATGATTTGTTCATTTTGGCGCCATAATTGCGCTTGAGCACTTGTCGCCATTTAGATCGAAAATCTTGAAAACGGTTAGTAACACGTAAGATAATTTAAGTACGTGGTAGTATGTTTGAAGTATGTAATATTTCGTCCGTATAGCCTCATTTGTTGGTAAGACAGAGAGTACCGTATTTGTTTTGAAAGAAAAACAAATTAGGGAAACAATCACACTATGAGTTTCAGAAGTAACGAGTACCACCAGATGTATTTATAACTGCGACAATAACCCATTACACATCAATTATTCATGATCATATTTCTGGACTGAAAGTTGCAGCAAGCTGTAATGTAATACGTCTAATAAAGCTAAAAGTATGTCTCCAGCGAGAAACTTTACAGTAACTTACGTAATGTCATAAATCTTGGCCGTACAACAGAAATTTTCCCAAAGCAGAGATAGCGGAAGGCAGTATTTTGTTGGGAATTTAAGGATGTAGAAATGGTTAGGAACTTTCCTCATGATACGTGATAATGCAAAATTCCACTTGCTTCTCAATTTGGCGCGCAAGTAAGAAGTACTGCATCTGTGGCCTCCGAAATAATTGACCCAAAAATTGAGTTTACAAATAGGTTTAATCGAAAAGTTGCGGTGCATCTTAAAGTTTTTACAATATCCCTCAAAAATTGTGAAGAAATAAGTGCCTGAAACTACTGAAACAGTGAAAATCTTCATTATTCCTGAGAACTGTCAATAGCAACTAGTTCGTCGCCATTATGGGGTTATCGACAACCGATATGCGCGAAATCAAGTCAACAATCATCAATACCTTCAACGAAAAATTTTTACAAGAAATAGTGGGTAAAGTCGTACAACTGGTAGAAAAGCAGTTTGAAGAAAGACTTAACAGGAACGAGGAGGAAATACAGACTCTTTGTGACAGGGTCGAGAATTTGGAAAAGGATAATAGACGTCTTATCATAAAAATGGACGATCAAGAGCAAATGGAGAGATCCCAAAATGTCAGAATATTTGGGCTGAAGGAAGAGGGAGCGGAAGATTTGGGTAATGTTATAGTGGATCTGTTTCAAAACAAACTGAAAGTAAACATACAAGAAAAAGTTATAGTCAAATACCATCGCATACCAAACAAAAACTCAAATAACAGTACGTCGGCCGTGCTGGTACGGTTCACCTCCAGCGATTCACGGGCATCGGTTTTGAAAAATCGAAAACTGTTGAAAAACACCGGGATTCGTATAAAAGAAGATCTGACTAAATCGCGACTGAAGTTATTTAAAAGATGTATTGATTTGTTTACGAAAAACAATGCGTGGATTCTAAGAGGAAATATTTACGTAAAACAAAACAATGAAGTTCATCGAATCGCCAGTGATGAGGACCTACACAAAATTAATGTTTAAGAGTTTTTTTTTGTAAGGTTTTCAATAAACAATGCAGTGTAGTGAGGTATGTGGGGGGACGGGTGCTGCAGCATTCTAACATGAAGGTAACATTACTGTAGATGTTTTCAAAGTAGGCAGTGTTAGACGTTATTTCTAGTCGTAAAAAATGTATTAGTATTAACTACTTTGAATGTGGCTTAATCAGTACTCGTCTTTTCGCCTATTATTATTTTTTTTTTCTTACACTTTTAGGTTAAAAAAATAAGGAATAATTGTTTAATAATAATTAGTACGAATCACAATGTTGTTATGCAATAATTTTAAACGAATTTATTAGTCCATACACATATACTTTGCCAATTTACAGTAATTTTATGGACACTAAATAAAATAAAAATGCCTAATTTCAAAATACATGTCAAGAATAATTAAATTAAGAGAATAAATAATGAATTTCTGTTTTATTCGTATACTCGTTGTTTTTTGGAAAAACCTCAAAAGATGTGGCAGTGGTTTCAGTTTTTATTTTTCGCAGCAAGTTATGGACTTAATTCTGATAATTTTTGGGAAAAACATAAATTGTGTCTCTGGACCTGCTAATGCCACAGATAAACGCATTGCTGTGAGGGTATGTATGCAAGTACGCATGTATACTTAAGAATGGCAATTATTTTTAGGTTGTTAGGTTTAGTCTCGTTTACAAAATTAAATAAGAACAAAATTGTAATGGTGTTACATAGAGGTTATAGGTTGACGCGGGGGCATGGGGATGATGGGGATTGGTCCTCGGGGACTGGCAATAGTGAGGAAATAAGGGATAATGGATAATGATAACATGGGTCAGCGAGTGGAGAGTGTTAATGATGAATCAATATTTGATAGTCCACATCAAAACCATTTCACAGTCGGACATCTAAATATCAGATCCATAAATTCTGGATTTGACGAGTTCTGTAATTATATGACAGAATACAATTTTGATATTTTTGGAGTTTCTGAAACATGGCTCAATCCAACTTTAAGAAGTGAGAGTTTTTGCTTGCCTGGGTACAAATTTATAAGGAATGATAGGCAGGGTCGAGGAGGAGGGGTAGCTTTATACATAAAAAGCGGGTTGAAATATTCAAGGGTAAATGTGGAAATTAACTGTGCAGAAACCATAGGTATAGAATTTAAGATAGGTGGAAAAACTTATCTTTTAGTTAATAGTTATCGTTCGCCTTCTGAGAGTGTCACTTATTTTTTAGACTCCTTAGAAAATTTTCTCGGTTTTGTCAGTGTCAAATATGATTATTTATTACTGATAGGAGATCTAAATATTAACATGTTAAATAATTCTGCTTACACAAATCGCCTCAAAAATTTAATTCATAGTTTTAACTTATCACAAAGGATCAGTGAGCCAACAAGATTCAATTTTGCCACAAGAGAGGCTAGCCTCATTGATATAATCTGTGCTAGTAAGGATCTTATCTCTATCGATTCTAAATCATTGGCAGTTTCTCAAAATCTCTCAGATCATAACTTAATTTACTCAGCCTTTCGAAAGTCAAAAATAAATAAATCACAAAAGACTATTAAATATAGAGACTACAATAATATAGATAGGGAATCCTTCTTAAATGAAGGGTTTCTACTTGGGTGGGAGGATATTTACTATATAAACCAAATCGACCGAAAAATAGAAGTCTTTAATAAAAATATAGTAACTGTTCTGAATAAACATGCTCCAATAAAAACAAAACAAATAACCGAAAAACCTTATGTACCCTGGATAACTCAAAATATAAGAATTTTAATCAGACTAAGAGATAAAGCTCATAAAAAATTTCAAAAATCAAAATCACAGGCTCATTTTGGATATTATAAACAACTAAGGAACTATACAAAGCATGCAATTATCCGAGAAAAAAATACATTCTTTAACTTACTCTCAACAAAGAAAGGTAAGGAATTTTGGGACACTACCAAAAAGCTCAACATAACATGCAAGAAAACTCACTCAACTATACCCGAACACTTACAAAATGTAAATGACATACACAATTACTTCCAGCAGACCGACAATTTACCAGACACTGCTTCCCAAGAATTAATCAATTTTTACAAAAACAATGTAAACATTAACGATTCTCTCAGCTTCCAACTGTTAGACAGGGCCAGTCTAATCAAAATTGTAACTAATATCTCATCAAATGCCATTGGAGAGGATGGTTTCTCTATGAGAGACCTAAAGTTATGTATCCCATTTTGTACGAATGCCTTGCTGAATATAATCAATACATGTATTTTTGGGGGATTATTTCCAGAAATATGGAAGAAAGCTATTGTTAAACCCTTACCAAAAATAGCAGAACCTAAAGAATTTACAGACTTGAGGCCTATTAGCATATTACCCGCTACGTCCAAAATTTTAGAAAGGCATATTTATAATCAAATTAGGTTTTTTTGTGACACAAACGATATCATACCAGACAGTCAATCCGGTTTTAGAAAAAACTTTAGCACAAGTACATCATTAGTTAATATCTTGGATGATATCAGACATCATCAAGAACAAAAAAATAGTACGTGCATGGTTCTTCTCGACTTTAGTAAAGCGTTCGACACTCTGAATCATGAAATGTTACTAGCTAAGTTACATTACCAGGGGTTTTCGCAGAACTCCGTAAATCTAATAAAAACATACTTAAGCAACCGTTCAAACTGTGTTATGTTAGCAAATGATTCTGCTATTTACAAAACCGATTTTAAACCTATAAAAAGAGGAGTTCCTCAAGGTTCAATTTTATCTCCTTTGCTATTTTCAATCTACATATCTGACATGGTCAAATCGGTAAAATTCGCAAAGATAAAACAATATGCAGATGACTCACAAATATATCTCCCTGTCAATAAAACCACAATCCATATTGCACAACACCAACTAAATTCAGATCTCCAAAGAATTGACACATTTGCAAAGCATCACAATCTTAAACTAAACCCCTCAAAATCGCAAGTAATGGTTATGAATAAAAACAGTATTGAAAGAGAACATTTTGAACAGAATTTAGTAATTTCTATTAACAATGACAGAATCCCCATAGTTCAGGAGACAAAAAATCTAGGCATTATATTTGATAGCTCGCTTGGCTTCGGCAGTCATATAAAAAACAGAACAAATTTAGCTTACATGCGACTAAAAAATATAAACAAATTAAAAAAACATTTATCAGCCAAACAAAAATATTATTTGTGTAATACCTTAATTTTATCACTTTTTGACTATGGAGATGTCGTCTATGGTGATTCGCTATCGTCGCGAACCAAAAAATGCATACAAAAAGTTCAAAATAGTTGCATGAGATTTGCATTTGGAATTCCATATCGAAACCATATCACTCCTTATCTGAATAACTACAACATATTAAACATGACGAATCGCAGAAAATATCACATGTATTCTTTTATCTATAGGGTTATAAAAACAGGTCAACCGCCCTATTTAAGAGAAAGATTTGTGCCTTTGCCTAGTGCCCAGAGAAGTAGAAATAATCTCAATTTTATCGTACCTAGGCATAGAACGCGTTCCTTCCGACAATCGTTTGCCTATGTGGCGGTTCACTTATGGAATAATTTACCAACTTCAGTTAAAAGCTCATCGTCAAAAACATTCTCAAAACTGACAAAAACGTTGTTACAGAATCACCAGCTACTTTAGCAGCGTTTGTGTGAGCAAAAATAACGTTTTTACAATCCTACTCGCTGACAAGTTGTATAGATTTGTTTTTCGCGTCCGTTGCCAGCTCCCGGGGGTTCTCTCTTCGTTTTTGCCTTTTTTGTGTTTCACCGCCTCTTCATTTGCCTCTTTATTGTATTTTTTATTTTGTTTAAGAACTTTTAGGGTATTCAGGGCTTTCTCGCATGGACTCTTTGTATTAAATGGTCCAATGTATCGGTTTTATAATCGAGAGACTGTCCTTTTTCGTCATTACTCTATATGTAGAATTTCTTTTGTTTATGATGTTTATTCATGACGAAATAAATATTTTGAATTTTTTTTTTTTTTTGAATTATAGAACTGATGTTTTTCCAGCATTCAGGCTCTACGCATTATTACCACGTATATCTATTTTTAAATTATCGATAGCATACATTTGATGCCAATATCATATGTCTGTCAACAATGTAAATTGCCGTTATGCTGTGGCCGCCTATGGGATTTAGAATGACGTCACTTTGCCTATTGCGCTTCTCTCATCAACCCCTTTCATATTGATCCCCATTTCATAGGGATGACTATGAACAATGTAAATTGCCGTTTTGCTACGTCCGCCATACTAGATTTCAAATCACGTCATATTGCTTATTGCGTTTCCTTCATCAAGCCCTTTCGTCTGATGCCTATATCGTGAGAGTGACTTTGAAAAATATGAATCATTCTGCGGCGACCACCATAATGAATTCAGAATAGTGTGTTTTTATCATCAAGCCCTTCCATTCGTTAACCATATCATAGGGGGTACTGTGTAAATGATAAATCGCTATTTTGTAGAGTCCGCCACATTGGACTCAAAATGGCGGCAGTTGATTCAATTTGGGTTATTACCCAACTCAAACGTATTTACAAAATTTCAGCTCAATTGATTACGACTAACCGACTCAAAATTCAGCACGAAAAATTGTCTCATACATAGTAACATACTTACATACTAGCATAATAACATACCGACATACTAGCATACTAACATAATAACATAATAACATGACAACATAATAACATGATAACATGATAACATGATAACATGATAACATGATAACATGATTAACATGATAACATGATAACATGATAACATGATAACATGATAACATGATAACGTGATAACGTAATAACGTAATAACGTAATAACGTAATAACGTAATAACGTAATAACGTAATAACGTAATAACGTAATAACGTAATAACGTAATAACGTAATAACGTAATAACGTAATAACGTAATAACGTAATAACGTAATAACGTAATAACATAATA